GAGAAGAGAAGAGAAGAGAAGAGAAGAGAAGAGAAGAGAAGAGAAGAGAAGAGAAGAGAAGAGAAGAGAAGAGAAGAGAAGAGAAGAGAAGAGGCCTATGCTTGTCACTGTAGTGGAGCCCTCGGTGTGGGTATTCAGCATGTTGCATAACATTAACCCCTGGTCCCCCTATTCTCAAAGTAGAGGAATGGTGGGGGGTGGCGGGCACCAAAGGAGAGAAAGTAGGTTTCTAAGGAACTGACATCACCCCCTTCCTCCTTTCAGATCTGAACGCCCCCTCCTCATTCTCATTTTCTCTCTCTCTTTGCTCTATTCAGCTCTACACTGTGATTGGCCAGATCATGATGGCAATCAGCCCGGCCCCTCTGTCAAAGCCAAACCACCCCCCATATCCTTTCGCCAGCTTTCTCTCCTTTCCATGCAACACACAACAGCTTGTCCCCACCCCAGCACATCTCTTATGTCTGACAACGGAAGCAGCCCATAACTTTCGAGGAGAACACGCACCACCGGTGGCAACCACTCCTGTAACTGTGAGTGATGCTGGTATAATTCCAATCCCAATTATGTTCAGTGTACACCTGAACATATTTACACATCTATGAATAAATAGTCTGAAACACCTGACCTGCTCCACTACCTAAAGATTTGTGACATAATGTATTATATGTATTTGCATGCGGCTGAACACATCTCTGTGTGTGAGTGTGTGTGGGTGTGTGTGTCTGTTTGCAGAGAACGGATTAGCTGGATTAGCCCTCCATCCCAGCAGGCACCCCCTATGGTGAAGAGGAAGCCCCCCAAAACCAGGTCATCTCACTGCTACCAAGTCTACAGCGACCTCCCAAAATCTGAACCTCCAGTATTATCAAAGGGATAAAGAGACGACCACCCCATGAAACTACAACGGCATGTACTTAAAAAGCTGCTTTAAAAGTTGTGTAAAGAAAATCAAATTTAAGTTGATTTACACTGAAAATATCTTTTAAACTTGGGAAGTGACACCTGTTGCATGAGACAGAAAAATGACGCTTTCATACAAGAGCTTGATATTTTGAGTTTCTCTGGAGTTTAGCAATACTGGTACTTAATGAATATTTGCAAAGGTATGAAAGGTTCTTACTGTGGTTTTTCAAGTTGTGCTTTCAAGTTTTCCATAGGCTGGTATTAAAAGATTGATATTATTAACCGTTTTCTTTCTAATGAATCAACCCATAATCTCCTATAAAGACATTTTGGTATTTTCTGTTCAATTATTAAATAACTATAACATAAATATCCCATTTACCTACATACTGAGAACCTTATCCTAACTTTTGTCCTAAGTGAATTAATTCAACGCACTGAGCACGGGCACACACCTATTCATAGCAGGTCTCACAGTGGATGATATAAGCCAGAGTGAAAACCAAGAAGTGAAGTCAACAGGATTGCGAACTTGAAACATTATTGTATTAATACTTGGATCTGAGGAAGAGGAACACTTCTGCAGAATTCTTAAATGGTGGTTTTCTTCCTACCAAGAGTCTTTCTTGGTCTGACCACTTAGTCAGGGGTGAAGACTTCTTCGTGGAGATGCTCAGTCAGTGATAAGAAAATTTTCAGTCCATAACAACATCCAGAACTTCTGACACTAAAGTAATGTAGGCAGCAGAGCAGTTTGCCAAATCCTCCTGTAGGTTTAGGAGTCAGACGATGGTTTTCATTTTCCGTTTTAGCAATCCTATTTGCAGTACTCTTGTCAAAGTTTGTTACTTGATCTCCACCGGTTCTGTATACTGCCATTTCTTATTACATTACAAACTGCAAAAAAACAGCAACCTGCAAAATCTTTGCAGTTTTCTAGCAACACTCCTTTAAACTTTCAGGCAGGTGCTTAGAGGCAGCCTTGGGCTATAGGAGTCCTAAATCCTGAGGCAAAGTTTGAGGAGTATAGAGAAAAATTATATAACTCTTCCTTTCTTTTTGTCTTCCAACATAAAATTGCACAAGAGACAATAAAAACATTTGTCTTTTTTTAAAATGATAAGAATATTTCATCTTTAACTCCATGCCGTTGCAGACAAGGTCATCTTTTTCTCATTGGTAGTTCAGTTATGTTTAAGACATAGTTTTATTTAGACTATGGCTGATTTCAAACTTTCTCATGAGGTTTGGAAAGAGAGG